AGCCGGCTGTCAACCAGCACCCCCAGGTCCTTTTCCGCCAGGCAGCTTTCCAGCCACTCTTCCCCAAGCCTGTAGCGCTGCATGGGGTTGTTGTGGCCGAAATGCAGGACCCAGCACTTGGCCTTGTTGAATCTCATACCGTTGGCCTCGGCTCATTATATACTGAACTGCTTAGGTATTATGTATTATGGTTTTTTTTTTTTTTCTTAATAGATAATTAAACTACCACAGGATTCAGATAAGCAAAATAAGTGTGATATGCACCTTCATCTCCCACCTGAACTTCTCATGTATTCAAGCGTTGCTGAAAAGAATGGTGTCTCAGAGAAGGTTGAACAGTCTGGACCACAAGGTGATGGATTCAAACTTTCATGTTTATATTCAGGCTTTTGTTGGAGCAACCCATAGTTTCATTTCAATGTTGGCTAGTCATTATTGTTCTTGCTGAGCTAGATTTTCCTCATTCAGATATTGGTCCAACGTGTTATAGCAGGAATACTGTGATTCTTTTTATTAACAGTGCTTAACTTTGTTTTCAGTTGTGAGCAATTTAAACCAGCCTCATTGCTCAGGATGAAACTTTCTACGCTGGCCTCTGCTTGAGGCTGAATAATGCTTGGAAGTCACAGCAATAACAGTTTGACTGCTTATGACACCAAGCTTACAGGAAGAAATAGAAAAGAAAAGATATTTTTTTGCCTAATTATTTCTGGAAGAACTCTAGCACCTCCCTGGGCTAGAACAGGGACTTCAAATTTGGCAGGGAGATAGTTCTGGCATCAGAGGCATGCCTTGCGCTACTCCTATGAAATTCCATTAAGATTCAATCAAGTAGTAACCCATAGGAAAGACAAATTATCATTTGCTTTTGTGCAGCAGACCTCCCCAGAAGCTTTCTTAAAAAATCGCTGAATGTTACTTTTAGACTGAGCATCCTCCCTGACCTCTGTGACTCTCCTGATATAGCTACATTGAAGACATAATTGACCGTATTGCAGTAGACTCAGAAATTGCTCCTCTTCTCTTAGAAATCCAGGAATGAGAAGAATGGCAGGATACTGCCATTGGTTTTTCTTTTTCAGCATGTGGGATCTGACTGCCATGGACAAAAATAATTCTTTTTTGATATACAGACATTGCTATATTCCCTCTTGTTTAATGCACTGAAGGATGCAGCAACCCACAGGTTGTAGTGTCTGTGTGAATATTATGTGCAGATCTGAAACAGAGATTTAGTTCTTCAGGACAGAGGTTCCTCGGGCGTTTGAGAACAGCAGCAGTGATGCACAGTAGTAGACATGGGAGGAGAAAGAGGATGATATTGGAAGAAAGAGAGCAGATAAGCAGTAATCATTTAGCGTGATGAATGGTCAGCTCAGGTTGGAAGTATAACATGAAAAGAGGCCAGTAGAAGTATTTTTCAGACAGTGAGTGATGGTTTAGGAGATAAAGAAAATGTGGTTTGCCCTGTGACACTTTTAGGCTAAGCAGCAACTGCACTGTGATCTTTTATATAACCACCCTGATACCAGAAGCACGGAGGTGTAAACATACGTTGTACTGAGGAGTAACGTCCTTTTTGGTGCCATATATCTTCTACATATCTGCTAAGGTGCTTCTAGATGCAGCACAAAACCTTGAATAGCAGATCCAAAAGGTGGAGTTACAGCCAATTTTTCTCAGCAGTGAAGGGTTATGGGCAAGTTCTTAATAAATCAAACTTGTCCTTACCATTGTTTGGTCCTACCATCAGTCTTCACGTGCACATGGACACACACACACATAGAGGCTGCAATTAAATAGGTCACAGTTCTGGAAACACATGGAAAAACTCATGATACTCAGTTTGGGAAGTCCAGAAAAGATCTATTTATAAGAACTGAGAAAGAGCGTTAGTGTATGTCCTATTCTGTGTGCAGACCTCTGAAATATGCTGACAGGCTGATCATGGAAGATCTGCAATTTCCATGCCAAACAGATTTGCACTAACAAAATTTCTAGAAGTAATTTTTGATATTGTTTATATTTATTTATTTTTCTTGGAGCCTTCTTTAAAGATATTATTAGCTGCTAATATCCCCCATGGGTTTGTTTTTTAATGTATCTATGCAGTGCTACAGTATGCTGTTTCTGCTGGTGATATGTTGCTAAGAGATTTAATAATGAGTAAACAAACACAACATGTGGTAATCCATTTCAAATTAAAAGTTTATTAAACGCTAGCTTGATGACTTTCTGGCTATTTACAATTAAAGGAGCAAACCTTAGGGAACTGGAGATCACGTGGTGAAAATCACGACTTCAACATTTCCAACAGAAAAATGTGTTTATGATCTGTGGCAAGCTGTCGCACATTGATATGCTCTATAAATACTATATTATATCTGTTAAACCACCAAAAGCAGGGGGAAGAAAAGCTCTGTTAAAGTGACGTTAAGGTTGAGACACAAACCGGAGAAAGCAAGAAAAGTCTAAATGAAGACTGGTGCTCTGTAACTCACTCTACTGCAGTAGTCTAAATAGTGAGTGATCTTACGTATAGATACCATATGTGGTGCTGCAACATATAAGCAAAATAGAGCAGGTTAGGAGATGGTGTTTTAACCTTCACTTCAAATTTGTCTTGGTTTTAGACGTTTAAGACAGAACCTTCATATTATTTCCATTAACTCCAGGCTACATTATTCTTTTAAACCACAGCTCTGTGTTGGGCTAGGTATGGCTCTTCCCTGCTGCACAGGATCTCTCTTCCAGAGTATAATGCAGGGGAATGCAACCTAATACCTTCCATTCTACCTCCTTTGTAGGTCACAGATGCACGTTATCAGATCTAGTCTGTCTCTTAGTCCAAACCATATCTTCTCTCCATTCTTTTGAAGTGGTATTCCATGAGAGGTTCATGGAAGAAGATAGCTTCTACTTTCATGACCACCATTCTTTGCTTTTTTTAAG